TTGAACAATGAGATCACTTGGACACAGGAAGGGGAACATCACACACCAGGGCCTATTGTGGGGAGAGGGGAGGGGAGAGGGATAGCATTAGGAGATATACCTAATGTAAATGACGAGTTAATGGGTGTAGCACACAAACATGGCACATGTATACATACGTATCAAACCTGCACGTTGTGCACATATACCCTAGAACTTAAGGTATAATAATAAAAAATAAAAAAGACAGCCAGACTTAGCCTTTATAGGGATTTTGGTGTCCTTAGGCATCCTGACACGCCATTCAGGAGGGCCCTCTACTACTCTCCCTGAATGGTTCAACCTCTAGAGACTTTAAAAAAAAAACAAAATTCTTCTCTATTCTTCAAATACTCTATAATAAGAATATATCACTTTCGGGGTCAAGGAAAAAAACTCAGTAAAGCTACCCCCTCCAAAATGAAATTCATTCTTCTTCTTCATATAAAACATAATCTCTCTCCTTAAAGCTTCCACCTAAGAGTTCTGACTCCCAATGTTAGGTTTTCTGGGACCACATACAGATCCCCAGGACAACTTTCAGATATTTAACACCCTGTCAAAACCTGAGTTTTGCCCTCTCCAGATTAAAATCCATTTTCCCACCACTCCCATAGAATAGGGTAGGCTTTCCAACTCTCCTCTGAACACACTCCAATGTGTTATCCCTTTTAAGATGTGCTGTTCTAAAGGAAACTATCAACAAAGAAAACAGACAACCAATAGAATGAGAGGAAATTTTTGCAAACTGCATCTGACACATGTCTAATATCCAGCATCTCTGAGGAACTTAAACAAATTTACAAGAAAAAAACAAACAGCCCGATTAAAAAGTGGGCAAAGGACGTGAACAGACACTTTTCAAAAGAAGATATATATGCAGGACAAGCATATGAAAAAAGAAAAGCTCTATATCACTGATTAGAGAAATGCAAATCAAAATCGCAATGAGATACCATCTAACACCAGTAGGAATGGCTATTACTAAAAAGTCAAAAAATAACAGATGCTGGCAAGGTTGCAGAGAAAAAGGAACACTATACACTGTTGATGGGAGTGTAAATTAGTTCAACTATTATGGAAGACAGTGTGGCAATCCCTCAAAGACCTAAAGACAGAAATACCATTTAGCCCAGCAATCCCATTAGTGGATATATACTCAAAAAAATATAAATTGTTCTATCATAAAGATACATGCATGCATCTATTTATCACAGCATTATTCATAACAGCAAAGACACAGAATCAACCTAAATGCCCATCAGTGATAGACTAAAGAATATCACTCGTCCAGACTAAAGGATACGATAGACTACAGGATAAAGAAACTGTGGCACATATACACCATGGAATACTATGAAGCCATAAAAAAAGAATGAAATCATGTCCTTTGCAGGAACACAGATGGAGCTGGAGACCATTATCCTTAACAAACGAACACAGGAACAGAAAAGCAAATATCGCATGTTCTCACTTATAAGTGAGAGCTTAATGACAAGAACACATGGATGCATGGAAAGGAACAACACAAACTGGGCTTTATCAGAGGGTAGAGAGTGGGAGGAAGGAGAGGATCTGGAAAAATAACTAATGGGTACTAGGCTTAACACATGGGTGACAAAATAATCTGTACAACAAACCCCTATGACACAGGTTTACCTACGCAACAAACCTGCACATGGACTCAATTTAGAATAAAAGTTTTAAAAAATGTTCTGCTCTAAATTCATCACAGTGCTCCAAGTGTGGTCTAGTAACTTGTATCCAAGGAGTAGCACCTCCTTGTTCTAGATACCTCATCTCTGTTAATGCAGCCTCAGTTTCTGTTTCCTCCAACTTGAGATCAGAATGAACAGAAACATTCAGGTTCCCGAGATAAAGATGAAATTCACCACAGCAACATATCTTTTCCCCTCTCTTTGGAGAACCCCTGATTCTCCAAAGGCATCCTCCCATATTCTACAAAAAATTCCTTAGGGGTGATATCACTCTGAACCTAGTCCAGCACTTTCTAAACCCTCACAGAAGGGTGCCAGGGAGACTGCAACAGAAGTCCTGAGTTTCAACGCTCTCTGGAGATAATCCTCTCTGTCCCATAATGCCAGGCCCCAGGGTCTCACAAAATATACAGGCACTTGGGCCAGCTTTCTGTTCAATCTATTTTCATGGACCCAGGAAGGCTGGTAGCCTGCAGCCCAAGGAGTCATACTGAGCACTTCTCCATCTCTCAGAAAATGCACAGCCTTTTGGTAAGTGAAGAGAGATGCTTTAAGATTACTTCTGTGTCATCTTCCAGGTCAGGGAAAGGTTCCAAAAGCCAAGTTCTGGGCCCGACGGGATGAAACATAGAACACTGGAGTGAAAACCACCAAATATCCATGTGCGAATACCTGTGCACACATATGTGCTCTTACCCAGGCTTGTACCCTTTCAGATGACTAGTAGTAGTTCTTTCCCCAGAAACACCACAACTTCTGGATAAAGCAGTCCCAGAAAAGGGATGGCCAACAGTCAGTAATTCTTTTCTACCAATGCACAGATGGAAGAACCAAAGCCAAGGAAGTGAAATGAGTTTCCTAAGATCTCGCATGGTAAGATGCCCTCAGTGCCAAACAGCTTCCATCTCCAGGCACACGGCGTCTACCACTACCCACTGCCTCCTCCTACAAAGCGAAGGTGTATCAGCTGTCCTCTAGACTCTAGGACCAAAGCACTAATTTGTATCCTGCTTAATTTTCATTTCCATACGGAATTCCCAGTTTCTAATCTTAAGTCAGCAAATCAAACAAGCCAGTCTGTTGAGTGGTCCTCAAACCCAGAATTAAGTGTTTTAGTTACAAAATACTAAATGTTAAAACAAATTCACTAAAGTGTATCCCACAATAGGAGTACCTGGGGACTGGCTGTTAAGGTTGGTGATTTATCAGCCCTCATTGTCAGGGAAGGAGGATTTGAAAGAATGTATACACACACACACACACACACACACACGCAATCCATGCTTTGTTGTCCAGAATTATCAGGGAAATTTTCAGGAGGTCCAGGCTCTAGACTTTTCTTCTGCAAACCACAGAAACCACTAAAAGCCCAAGATAACACATACCTGTACATCCCTCAGAAAGTTTTAGAAACATAGTGGAGAGGACAGAGACATGGGCTTCAGCCAGCTCTGTCAGTTTCCTGCTATCTATCCTCACATCATCTCTGGAGCCTTACAAGGGTTTAAGGGAATAAATAAAACAAGAGTGAGGATGTAACCGGCATGCAGCAGCAGAGGAGATATTCCATAAATGGTGCTGTCCTCTTTTCCCCACCCTTTAAGGAACATCTCTGCAAGATTCCATTAAAGAGTAAAAACCTCCATCCAGTCTCCTCTTGCCTCAAGTCCCACATGATTCTAGAAGGAAACTCTTAAAGCTGACTCAAGGAGATTTGATAGTCAGTGCAAGTTGCATTTGTGGTGAGAAACAGGAGGACTGCAAGGCTTAACCCCCATGCCTATCCCCTAACAATGAAGCAGGATAACTGGAAGAGGGTGTAAGATGTCCCTTTGCCATATTTAATCAATCAACCTGTATTAGCTGAGTGGCTCTTCTTTGCAGGGCATTATGCAGAGGTGTAAAACCTGATCCTGCCCTCCAGCTGCTTTCCACCTAGCTAGGAAAGGAAGGCCCCAAGCCCCAAGTGCTTGGGTGAAATATGTCCTCTCTCTGGCCTCAAAAGCCACATGTGAATAGGGGTGCTGGTGCAGACAGTGTCCTCCAGCCTCACTCCTAAGCTCTGGAGGCAGGCACTGAGTTGATCTAGTCTGCTATTTGATTCCCAGTGCCAGCAAAAGCATGACACAAGAAGGCTCTCAACAAATACCAGGCTGATGAATCCATGAGCTAATGAAAGAATCAGTGGATGAAATTTGAGTCAGAGGAACAATCATTTAGAGATTTGCTGCATTTTGACTCTAACATATGCCATGCAGAGGTACCCATTTCCAAAGCCTAGGAGAAGTTCGAGTGTTCCAGGTCCTCCTGAGGCCCGTCCCCTCAGAGCCAGGCAACAATAACTCAGGACCCCGCATCGTTTTCAGATGTCTTTAGGGCTTGACTTTTGCCTCAAGTTTCTTAAATCCAGCCCTGGAAATGTCAGAATGGGATTCACGAGGGAGTGAATCTTGCCACTGCAGGGCATTTCAGATACTATAACCGGTGGATCCTGCCCTCTTCACCCAGGACAAGATCACAAAAAGTCAGACTGACATCAGCATCACCATCACGACGATCAGAAAGTTTAAGCCTCAGCACCTCCCATTCGTAAGCAGATGCCTCTGATGACTGGAAAAGAAGAAGAGCCATCAGGGAAGATTACAGGCCTGACAACTCACTGTGTGATTAAAATGTCATTCTCTCCCTGGCTCCCCTGGCTCCCTCTGAGCCCCTAAACGAGAGTCACACCAGCCCACACTCTCCTACACCCTGTGCCCATCCATCCCTCATCATGCTCCTAGAACGCCTTCCAGGTCAAACCCTGAGGAGGCAGCACCAGGGCCCTCCTACAGCCAGGCCAGGCCCATGAAGCCTCCCTGACTCGCCCCATGGCAGGCGAGGGTGAAGACACACCCTGGGTGAGACTGGTGGAGCCATCTGCCCTCCTCATACCTCCTGTGCGTGTGCTGTATAGCTCTTCCCCGCAGAGCCCTGAACAGCAGGCCAGCGGGGAACACTGGTTAACCTGAGGACAGTGTGGCAGGGTCAGGAGAGTTGGACACTCTCATTCCCGTAGCCCTGCCACATACCCTAGAGCCAGGCATCCCTGCTTCCTCACTCAGGAAAATGACATTCTGGACAGTTGGTCCCTGGTGGTGGAAAAGAGCCTAGGCAGAGAAATACAGCAGATCAGGTGCGAGACCTAGCCCCTAAGTGACCCGAGACAAGTCACTTCCTCTCTCCTGAGCCTGAAAAGGGTTGGGTAAAGGAACCCTGGATTACCTTACTTCCAGTCTGTGTTCCAGGCTCTTTCTCCACAGGCTTCCCACTGAAAAGCACCTCACTTGCTTCTTAGAGGCTTATTTTTAGGAACAGACTAGGCTCAGTTCACTTGTTCCATTTCACAGAGACTCTGATCTGAAAGCTCCCAGTAAGATCCAGCTATGCTAGACAACATAGCAGCCAGTACGTCCCGGCTGCCAAGAACCTCTGTTTTATAATTCTTGCTCGGCAAAGCACCATCATGCATGTGCCCTCCATGGGGCATGAGGAAATTCAAGGGAAAAAGACACCATCATGCAATTAAGCATGGCAACACAAAACAAGCCAGATTTTTCCCTTTGTTTCCCATTAAGGTTAGTAAAAACAGCACCTTTCAGGCTTGTCTGTGTGTGGTCTTTGCATTGGCCTTCAAACTCTCATTGAAAAGAGACTATTTCTTGATTATTTACTATGCAACACCCAAGACAATGCCATTAGCAGTTAATTATTACTCAGCAACATGGACTCTGCCCTCAGAAACATGTTTTACGCCCTTGCCAGAAAATATCCATGCACAGCCTTACTGACTCATCCTCACAATGGAATGGGAGAAGAAAAGGAGAGTCGCCGATAAACTCTATTCCAACCACGCCTCGTAATTTACCGTTTAGTTACAGCTGGAAAATGAAATGCTGCTGCCTGAACCAGCAGAAGGATTGGGCATGAAAGGAGAAAAGAGGGACAAAAACCATAGCGGGGCCTCCAGCCCTACTCTCCTCTGAATTCACTCACACAATAAATGTTTTACTGACCATCTGGCTAAGAGCTAGGCGGTCTGTTCCCCCTAAACAACGCCTATGTCAATCTGTAAAATTTATGATTATTTAAATATGTATTTTAATAGAATACTGCACTGTATTTTTTCAAAGTACTTTGATTTCTATTATAGTCTGACTTCCACAGTCCATGTGGCAATGGGAAGTTCATCTAGCATCTCTTCCCTGTTTCTGCTTCCCAGCGACTCCCCCTTGAGAACTGGTGCCCTTTGGCCCTCACTCATTCCAGTCTCACCCTGCTACTTCACTGCAGCCTGGAGCAGACTGCACATTCCCAAAGGGCATGTTTTATATTTGTGTTCATCCTTCCCAACATTAACAAAGCATCTACTATGTGCTGCACACCACATCTTCTGAAATCCCTGCAACATACGGAGTTCTCTGCTGTACATCTGGCCTCAAAAATGTTAAATGTGTATCAATCAATAGATTCTAGTTTAATACAGAAAGAGCTTGGTATCAACCAAACTAGCAAAGAAATGAAGACAGCATCGGTAAGTAAAACCCACTAAATGGTGAGCCCTCATGTCACCATTAGGCATTCCCAATTCCTTTATCATCATCAAGTATGTTGCCTTCTGACGCAGAAGCATTTGACAGATTTCCATTTTACCACATTTTCCTCCAAACATGACTGGGGGAAAGGCCAGACCAAGAACTGGTAAGAGAGTGTATAGATACAGAAAACCCAAATCTTAACAATGCATTGAGGCACTGATAACTGTTCTCTAACTCCCGCATTCACACAACCAACTCTAAAGACCGTGTCCTATCAGCAAAAACCTTTTAATCTCATTTACCCCTTTGGTCCAACAGTCTAATTTATTTAATCATTTTGACAGTGGCTTACTTTTTATTTAGAGCCAATTATGTACCTGGCCCCAGACCATGACCTATAATGGGCAGGGACAATCAACGATATATGACTGCTCTCCAGAAGCTGACAATCTGGTTGGAAAGATAAAACTCAATCCAAGAACAACAAGGACTTATGGGCTATACATGAAACAAGATTTCATGAACAAGATTAATATGGGCTAGAGTAGTTAGGGTATGCGTCATAGAAGAGAAAAAACACAAGAAGTGAAAAAAAGGATGTCAAATGGTAACAGAAGAGATGAAAGGCATTTCAAGACAAGAGGGTAGGCATGAATGAAGGAAGAGACATGGCAATAGAAATGGTAACTGGGGAAGCTGGAAGAGAATTCAAAGGGGTACCCAGTTTGCATGAAGCAGAGGATGAGCATTGCAGAAGAGGAATAAATTTAAAAAAGAAAAAGTCGGCTAGAGAATTTTGTTCATGTATTTATTTAATGCATACATACTGAGCCTGTCATATGTGCCAGGTACCATGCCAGGTGCTGGAGATGCTGGGATGCAATGGTAAACCTGACATTACCAGTGTTTTCAAGGGTCTAGGAGTATGGCCTCGTAGAGAGAAGGCAAGTACACCGGTGATTAAAGGACAGAGTGATAAATGCAATGAGTAAGTGCGAGGTACTTATGGGACAGTAAATATGGAGCACCAACTTCATGCTAAGAAATAGTAGTTTGGTATTAATATTAATAACTGTCAATGCGATTATTCATGATGACACCTTCCATTTATTGAATATCTACTATGTGCTAGGTACTATACTAAGCACTTTATATATTGTGTCACTGAATCTTCAGAGACCCTCTAGTTACTACCCCTATCCCATTTCACCAGAGACAAAGCAGATTTTACAAAAATCATGGAACTGCTAAGCGGCTTCCATAAGTCCAGAGAACATCATCTCTGGCTTTTCCTCTACCACGAGGCACAAGCAATCCCAGTCCAGACAAACCTCATAGGAGTGATTGGATAGGGTTAATGCAATACACCCAAGGGAAATGCTGCTGGCCAAGTCCTCCAAAACAATGCTGGATATAAAATTCCAGCTCCTGCAAGGTCACTTTTTCAGGACTGAATGTGCCAACCCAATTTCAAATGGCTCTCGTAGGATAAAAATGAAGTTCTACTTCCTAGAGGAATTAATATGCCCCTCCTGCCTCCCCTTCTGTGTCTCCCAGCCCTAACCCCCGAGGAAAGCAAGGGCTGTTGGCGAGACACTGTCTCAGATCTAAATACCAGACCAAAGGTAAAGAGAACACTGGCAACCTTGCCAAATCCCCAGGACAGCTTTTATGTGCTCCTTTTGATCATCTGTGAGATCATTTAAGAAAAAAAGACCATTTTTATATCCAAGAGCCCCTCTGGAACAGAGTACAAACCTTGAAAGGTTACAGGAAACTTTTCCACAGACATGGAACTTCCAGCAGGAAAGGAGAAACCACAGTGCCCTTTGAGAAAACGTCTCAACACAAAAAAGGGCACAGCCAGCACTGAAGGTTAGTTAAATATGGGGAGGACTTTCCTCAGCCAGAGAGAGGGCCTCCCAAACCACTGCAAACTCACAACCTACAGAGATTGACCAACCAGGCTCTCTGCAAACTAGACTGGGCAGAGCATCCTGCAAACTCTCCTCAGCCAAGGGAACAGAATCTCTGCCCTATTAAAGTAGTAATGGCTGTTTTGCTTCCTTATTTTTTCAGAGAAATGAAGACATAGAGGGGTCTTGTGAGATGGTAATTGGGAAGTTGGGAAATTGTGTTTGAAAACCAGATGGAGATGAAAAGAGGAGTCTGAGATGGGAAACAGGGCAGATATATCTGGGATGTTTATTTAAGGCTATGCATGGGGAGCTCTGCAAGCAGAGTGTGTATATCTGACACTTGTTGAAGTGACAGCCCTGGATCTCTGCAGAGCCTGTGAGACGGGAGGCCTCAGCAGCTGTCACACTCCAGTAAGCTGGCAGCTCTGCCTTGGCTCTCCTGGCAGATCCCTGCCAATAGCTCAGATGGAAAGGTAACCACTTAATTAAAAAGAAAGAAAGAAAAGTAAAGAAACATCTAAAAGAGAGCAGCAGAACCTAATACTGAGAGGAAAGGGTGAGAAAACAGTTATCTCAGGCTTTAGAAAAAGGGTCAGGAAGAAATAGGAAAGATCTAGCTTGATTTCTGGAAAGCGCCCCTTTTCCCTGGCCCCCTCTAAAATCAGTATTCTTTAGGGAATTGTCAGAAGAGAAGGGAACAACTCAACTAAATACAGATGGAAACCAAGAGAAGTTAGAGTCTCTTGGCTGCTATTCAGCAAGATAGACAAACACTTAGTAAATGGTCAAGGCGAAAAGGAAGCAAAAATAATCCATCAGCACGAATTCTTAAACACTCTCTCCTTACTCCATTCAGACTTGATTGCTTGTCTAGCTCCCTTTCTAGCTCTCAGGCCATTCCCACTTTATCTCTTAGAGCCTTTTCAACAGCTTGCATACCCAGCAACTGCGAGTTCCCTGGGTCTATCCCTTTATGCCCAGAGACTGGGACATGCTCCAGGACAAAATGCCCCAGAATCTTATCTCCCTTCACCTCAGCTTACCTCCACTTCAGCCTGGAAGAGCCCTGAAATCTGCCTTAAGATAATTCAGAAGAGACAACCTGTCACTTCTGGGATCTAGAGCTCTTATTATTATCAAACAACCCAGGCTTCCAGCTTTAGCTCCTTTCCAGCCACTTCACAGCATCACTCCTTAAGGCATTTCGGTATTTCTTGCAGCCTGAGAGTCATCTTTTCACTACAGTTAAGAAAAATCTGTAACTATTGTAACTATCCTACAACATCCTGAATGTTCCCAAAAGCTCACCGTGAGTTCTCTCATCACAGGAATTTTTCTGCAGAGGCTGTCAGTTCCTGACACATGGGTACGCTCTTGACTTTTACCTGGGGTCAAAGTGGCATGTTAGATAGAGGGTCTGGCTGAAATCAGGAGACTGGAATAATTCCCTTGCTAAGTCTCCCCCATAGTCTCTATAAAGGAAGGGAGGATATGCTCTGCTGTGCAAAAACTCAGGAGACCTGAGCATTAAACTGAAAAATAAAACATGTATCAGATCCACACAGAAAGGTGCAAAATCACCTGAGGAAAACAGAAAGGTGCCCAGGCTAGTAAACCTGACTACAAGTAGATTGAATTATTTTAAAAATCTATATTTACATATATCTAAATCAGCAAAGGGATTGGCCAGTGGAAGCACAGAAAAGCTGAGACATTAAGCAAAGAGGCAGTGCCCACTGAGGCACAGGCCAGGGAAAAGTGGCCTTGCCCAAAACCACATGGCAGGGGACAGCCTTTCTGTGGTGGTAAAGCCAGGCTTCAAGCCTCTTTCTTCCTCTGGTTCCTCTAACACAAGTGCCATTTGTATCCCTTGTTCTGAAACTACTGTCCCTAATGACCAGGCCTGTTGCACCAGGCCTTATGCTACGCTCAGAGTGCCTTCCTCCCCACCAGCTACACACCAACACAAAAACCCACACATCATCCCTTTTGAACTTTCCTGAGCCCTTTCCCAGTTCAATAGGACAATCTGCAGAGTAGCAACTTTCACACTAGAGTCTAAGACACTTCTTGAAAAAACCCTGGAAAAAGGCAGTCAGGTTGATGGTTCAGACCAGCAGTTGTCAAGCTTGAGCACACATCAGAATTACCTGGAGGGTTTGTCAAACACAAATTGCTGGCCTCACCCCCAGAGTTTCATATTCCATAGGTGTTGGGTGGGGCCTGAAACTCCACATTTCTTACAAGTTCCCAGGTGAGCCTGACACTACTGCTCTGGGGATCACATTTTCAGAATCACCGGTCTGGACTATTCAGATAATCCAGGACACAGAGGTGGGAGCCCAAAAACACTGTCATTAAAAACCCCAGACAATTTCCTTAACTTCCAGGGGACAACCACTCCCTATCTAAGTAGCAGTGATATAGAACCCACTAGCTCAGCACCAACCACATGCCAGGATCTACATGACCACTTTGGCCTGCATTATCTAATTCTATATGAGTAGGGTAATACCTAGGCTAAATGAATGGTGTGACTTCAATGACATTATTACCATAATTAAAGTTAATGGGCCAACTTTCTTCATTAGAAAGATCAAGAATGAGTGGCAAACACAAAGAGGTCAATTACAGGATCAATCTGAGTTGGACTCTCTCTTACCCTCAGGCCTCATCAATGGGAGAGGAAGAGGAAGAGAATGTAGCCAGCTATCTAGGAGAAAGCAGCAAGAATTTCTGGAATCTCTTATCTTCTTCTGCCAGCCCAAACACAGATCCCTCAAGTAATTCAGTAAATCAAAGAAGACATGCTAAAGAGTCCTGGGGGACTGTACCTCCATGTGGGCAAAACCTGGTAATCTCAGATCTATGGGTTGTGGAGAGGAAACAGAAAGAAACAAGCTGTGCAGCTGCCTTCACAAACACCTACACTATGGTGCACTACACAGAAAACTCTTCCAAGCAGGGAAGATGCCCCCAGGAAAGAACAGTCAGAAGTAAGCTAGGAAGAAACCCTACCCCAGGGAAGAAGCAAGTGGGGCCAGGGCAGAAAGATCCTCAGAGTAGTGCCTGTCTCTTAGGGAACTCAGGGATATTTTCCAATCTGATGCTCCTGTGTGAATAGTGTCCGTGGTATGGGGCACGCTGAGAAAGTCAAAGTGATGCCAACAGAAGAGCTGCTTTACATAAGGCTGATACGGACGGGCAAGTCCAGTCATGGCGTGTTAGACTGCGGTGGACTGGGGAACAACTCTGTCGGATTCTGCTTACAGAGTCTCCCACAAAGGGCCCCTGCCCATTTGGGACTCTAGAAAAGTAACATGATAGGGAGACATTGGTTTTGGAAAAAGACACTGCCCTCAAAAACCCGGATGATGGTTACCCTAGCATCTCATCACTCTTCCACTGCTCTCCTCAGACCATCAGAATGTGACCAATTCCTGAGGTTCTCAGACATTAAGGGACAGAAAGGTAAACACTGCATGTTCTCACTCACATATGGAAGCTAAAAAAAGTTGATCTCATAAAAGTAAAAAGCAGAACAGTGGATCCTAGAGGCTGGAAAGGGTAGGGGGAAGAGGGGAATAGGGAGAGATCTGGTAAAGGATACAAAATTACACTAGATAGGAGGACTAAGTCCCAGACTTCTACACCACTGCCAGATAACTATAGTTAACAAAAATATATCGAGTTTCAAATAGCTAGAAGGAAGATATTGAATGTTCCCAACACAAAGAAATGATAAATGTTTGAGATTATGAATATGCTAATTATCCTGATCTGATCATTATATATTCTATATATAATGATATTAAGATATCATTATATACCCCATGAATATGCATAATTATGTCAATTAAAAATAAATAAAATCAGATTGTTTAAAAAAATATGTTCAGAGAAGAAAGAAACCTTAAAGTTGAAGAGCCCATTCAAGCAGGGAAGGACAGCTGATAAAACTAGAGATGTTTAGCCTAGAGAGATAGCAGAGTCAAGTATCTGAAGGGCTATCACAGGGAGAAGAGATGAAACACATTCTATGTGAACATGGCCAGAGAGGGGCGGGGAGGGTAAGACAGAGACTGCTAAAGTTACATTATTTTTGTAATATCTACTACAAAAAGTTAAGCTCCGCAAAATCTCACTTGGCATCAATTCAGAGGCCTGGATTACAAAAGGGTGAGAAACTCACTAGACATGTCCTAGAAGGTCTCCATGATCTGGAACTGGCCCCTCTTCATCTTCACTAGAGGGTGCTCTCACTCACTTCACTCAACACAAACCATCCCTCTGTTGCTGGGAGGGGCCCAGCTCACTGCTGCCTCCCAATCTTGTACCTGCTGATCCCTCACCATGAACAGATCTTGGCAAGCCTGGCTCATTGGCAATATTCAGGTTTTAACTCAAAATGACCCCTCCTTAGAGAGGCCTTCCCAGACACTTTCAAAGTAGCCCTACCTGGCCTTCCCCAGAATCACTCTCTGTCACATCACTCTCTTTATTTAGATAAAAATAATTTTCTCTTTATTTATTTTCTCTTTATTTTCTTCACAGAACTGACCACTCACACTCTCTGATGTTACCCTGTCTACTGTGTCTTTGTATTATAACCAGCCTTTCTCATTTGAACATAAGTTCCATGAGAAGAGAGATCTCACCTATCTTATTTACCTGTTTCCCAGTGCCTAGAACATTCTGTCATAGTGATACTCAAATATTTGTCTATTAAATGAATATTTGTTGAAACACCAAGCATAGTCCACTTCTTTGAGTAAGAGAAATCTGATTCTGTATGCAAAGGTGTTTCCTTATCCATCCAAATTACGGAAATTAGTTTGCTTAAGGTAAGAATTAACAGACTACTAACAAAAACATATCAGTTTTTTCTACAATAAATAATTAGAAGAACTAAATGAGCACCTTAAACTTTTTCCATGTTTCAAATAGATGAAGTCTGCCTAGACAGGAACACATTTTGGTTTTTTACAATGGCATTTTCAAGTGACAATTTCTGGGTAGTTATTAATAGCTGAAATGTTCAACATATACAAAACCATTCTTAGACCTCCTATTGTAACGGAAAATGACATGATACAACTATCATAACACATATACTATAATGCAAATTCAAACTTTATATACACGAAAAACCCTAAAATAATATACTCCCCACCCACCCACCCCCGAGATGAAGTCTCACTCTGTCAGCCAGGCTAGAGTGCAGTGGTGCGATCTCGGCTCACTGCAACCTCCGCTTCCTGGGTTCAGGCAATTCTCCTGCCTCAGCCTCCCAAGTAGCTGGGACAACAGGCACACGCCACTGTGCCCAGCTAATTTTTGTATTTTTAGAGATAGCGCTTCAGCAGGTTGGCCAGGTTGGTCTCGAACTCCTGACCTCGTGATCCGCCCACCTCAGCCTCCCAAAGTGCTGGGATTATAGGTGTGAGCCACTGTGCTTGGCCTAAAATAATCTTAACCAATTGTTCAACATTTGAAAATAAAAATAGAGACATTTATTACACTGTTATCATTCAACAAAACTCACTGCACTTCAAGGAAGGCACATAAGAACACTACACATGCAGCCCACATTCAAACCACCTCTGTCACTTTTCCCAAAGATTTGACAGAAGCCAGCCAGATTGCCCTCTTGTGCTGATGTTGAAAAAATTTAGGCACCTTCAACGTTTGCCAGAGTCGAGTTGTAGGCTGTGTGGCATATATCAGAGCCCACAAACAAGAGTGCTGCCCCTACATTCTAAAAAATTCTATTTCGATAAAGCAAGTGATCCAGGTCTTATAAGATATTAACAACAGAGCATTAATCAAGCATTATGGAAATGGCCTATAAAGAGACAGTGTGTGAGCCCAATTCCAGCAACAGAAATATAGAGAAGAATTATCTCATTAAGCAGAAGTTTGTGGAACAGAATACTGAGTAGCTTTCCAGCAGGCCACAGATAATTTACAAAATGATTGCGAAGGGCACCATTTGCTTATACAAAATAGCATCTTTTATCTAAAAACTCCAACAAGCCATTTGACCAGAGGCTGTTTTTGTTGAAGTCTTCAACATGAGAACTGGTCCCAGTTTTCAAGAGTCCAGCCACTTTCTCTACTAGGCAGATGGGAAAACAGTCAATGGGTAATTAAACTGGTTTTGGCTTTGGGTTGCTGCTAGTTTTCCTTGTTGGGAAGGGGCTTCTTCACAGTAAGATGGCAAGCCAGGGATAATGACAAGAATATGTTATACCACCACATTTTACTTGGCCCTCGGAACTCCTCAAAATGCTCTCTTATTTCTGATTTCTACATGGCCTCATGAATGTAGCTGAATCAAGCAGCAAACAGCCTGGCATCTGCCCAGCACATCACATGGCATCATAGACACGGGAAATTTTCAATCAGGACAGCAGGCAAATGTTCATGGCTCTGAATATGGCTACAATTGCAAGGCTACTCTGATTCCGATCCAGCTCAAGAATTTGCCTAATCCCCTCATTGTCACTGACCTATATTTCCATGAACTGTCTCCAACATCCTCTACTCAGCCATTTTCACAGATCTGTAACACCTCTACACATTGGAGAGGGTGGTAGAAAGCCAAACACATTCTCATACTCACAGAGTACAATACCGGGGGGCAGGAGGAGTCAATTTGACAATATAAGTGTCAAAAGCATTAGAATTCTCCATACTCTTGGATGTAACAATTCCATTTAGAAATTTATTCTTAAGGAATAATTCTGAATGTATATAGTGATATAACTACAAAGATGTTGACAACTGTGAGAAACTAGAAACAAGCTAAATGTCAAAAAATGGGATCTGGTTAAATAAATACATGCATTAATAGAATGTAACTATACTCAGCCATTAAAAACAAGTTGTAAAGGAGTATTTAAAGATGTAATCATATAAACTATTAAGTGAATAAAGAACCACAAAACTTTATGCATGGTGGCTGAGTATGGTGACTCACACCTGTAATCCTAGCACTTTGGGAGGCCTAGGCGGGTATATCACTTGAGCTCAGGAGTTTAAGAACAGCCTGGGCAACATGACAAAGCCCCTCTTTACAAAAAATACAAAAAATTAGGCAGGTGTGATGGTGCGGGCCTATAGTCCCAGCCTCTTGGGGGGCTGAGGTGGGAGGATCACTTGAGCCCAGGAGGTCAACTCTGCAGTGAGCTGAGATCAGGCCACTCCACTCCAGTCTGGGTGACAAAGTGAGACCCTGTCTCAAACAAACAAACAAATAAGCAAACAAACAACAACAACAAAAAAAACCCAACAACACAAAAAACCTTTATGCATAATCACATTTCATTTTTATTAAAAACACTCCATTTTTGCAAAAATTGCAATCTGAAAATCTGAAACAGTGTCAGTCTGCTCAGGTTGCTATAACAAAAGTGTCATAAACTAATGGCTTAAACAACAAACATTTACTTCTCAAGTTCTGGAGGCTGGAACATCCAAAATCAAGGTATCAACAAACAGATCCAGTGTCTGGTGAGGGCCTGCTTCTTGGTTTGCAAAGGGCAGTCTTCTCACTGTGTCCTCACATAGCCAAGAGAGTGAACTTGACTCTCCTTCACTTCTTCTAAGGACACTAATGCCATCACGAGGGACCCACCCTCATGACCTAATCCAAACCTAATTATCACCTCTTGATATCCCATTGGGGGTTAGAGTTTCAACATATGAATTTGGGGGAGACACACTCAGTTTACCCCAAGAAGATGTGTAACAAAATACTTAATAGTGGCTATTTCCGGCCAGTGGGAGAGATCTGGTTTTTGGGGGTTTGTTTTTTCCTTTATCTTTTCAAAACACTTTATACAATATATATGAGTCAGGCTTTACATTAAAAAAAAAAACCCAGAAATGACTGTTTAACAATAATTAAATGCACTGTGGAAACATCTCACAGGGTTAAACACCCATCTGTGGGATGATCACAACATCCCAGAACCAAACGCAATGACATTAGGATTTCTGCCAGTGACATGCATCATAACATGGTGCCAACCAGAATGTTGCTTCACTGAGCGTTTATTAAGGTCTTAAATAAATGGTGCTGAATATAGACCCATCGCACCAGGAATACCCCATCTTGATGCCATAACTACAAGTGTTATTTTAACATTTACAAAAAATATGTAAGTAAACAAAAAGTTAAGCAAAGCAACTATGAAAGGAAGAGGAGAAGGAAGACTTTGCTTTTCTAACCTCCAGGCAGCAACTTATCATCAGGCTTAGCCCCTTCTAGGACCTGCTCCTAAAGCTTGAGAACAATCTCAGAACTTCAGTAACTCCTTATCTGACAAGGATTCAGAATTAAAATATGATTCCAGAGGAGGGAGAGTGCACACATGCTTTCTTTCTGGAATTTGCATGCATAAGGTTTTGTTTTTCCTCCACCACAAATCCCATGACATTCCTCATTATTATATGTGGCTTTAATATTGTAAGTACATATGCAAAAATGCAACTTTTGAAACTGCATTACTATCCTATAAGTGATTATAGCAACCCTAGACAGTAGGTGAGAATGCTCATTCCTACAGAAAATCAGAGGTAGAAGCCTATGCAATGTGTCCCAATGCACATGGTAAGTTAATAGGAGAGCCTAGCTTTCAGGACACAGCTGCTGACTCAGCAGTCTCCTCACATTCCAGGCTTTTGCATAACTGGCTGTTCAGATAACCCCCATCAAGACCAGAGTTCT